TGTCTCAAAAATAAATAAACATTAAAAAAAATTAAAAGAAAAAAAACAGCTTAGCATGTTAGCAAATCTTTTTCTGCATCACCATTTTAATGGCTTCATTTAATGGTTGTGTGGCTGTTCCTTAACCTAATGCCCAACAGTTGAGTATTTAGGTTGTTTCCAACTTTCCACGCCGTTAATGATATGAGAAAAGGCAAACTGCAACTAAGTCATTGCGTACATCTATGACAGTTTACTTAGGATAAATTCCGAGAAATGTCTTTCCGAGTTTGTAAAATTTTAAGATAGAGAGCAGTGGGCATATTCTGTGATATCATCTGTGATCAATAAGAAAGCAAGCCACAGGGGCACCTGGGTGGCTCAGTCGGTTGGGTGGCCGACTTCGGCTCAGGTCATGATCTCGCGGTCCGTGAGTTCGAGCCCCGCGTCGGGCTGTGTGCTGACAGCTCAGAGCCTGGAGCCTGTTTCAGATTCTGTGTCTCCCTCTCTCTTTGACCCTCCCCTGTTCATGCTCTGTCTCTCTCTCTGTCTCAAAAATAAACGTTAAAAAAAAATTTAAAAAAAAAAAGAAAAAAAAAGAAAGCAAGCCACATACGTATTTGTTTTGTATACTTATAAATTCTGGAAACGGATAATGTACAGTTACTTTGGAAGAAGACAAGTAGTTGATAGAGGCTGGGAAAGGAGGAGGATTTTGACTGGATACCTTGGGTCCTTTAGGAATTTTCAAATATGTAACTATATTACCTGTTCCCCGAATAAATGGAATTTAAACTTAAAAACTGTAAGGCTTTTGGAGTAGTTTCACAAACATCCCTTGGGAAGTCAGACTGGTTTGTTCTCGTGCGCATGGCGTGTACCTTTCCCCACAGGCTCACCAACACTCGTGTCAACATTTTACGGTATTTTTATGCCAGTTTGTGACGAGTATGGTGTCTGGCCTTGTTTCATACTTTATTGTCAATGAGGCTTATTGGCTGTCTGGATTTCGTCTTCAGTGACTTGTTCAGACTCCAGGAGAGGGTAGGGCAGGTCGGCAACAGTTGCCAGTTGGTTCCTGACTCAAAATTCCTGAGTCTGAGTTGGGGTCCGGCTGAAAGAGGGGCCTGGGGATGGGGTGGGCTGAACTACTGGCCAGGGATGCTCTGAGCTCTGTTTACACAGAACATTCTCCACGCACGCCCATACAGGCACATGCATTTTTAAGAACAAAACAACACAAAACACCTGTACTGTAGTTTTCTTTCCCTGCTTTCTGACATCTGGGGAAAATCCATACTCGCGGGCTCTGACCCAACATCAGATCACTATATTCAACGCATATTTCCGGACGCCTACCATCTGACAAAACTGTCAACACATGACGCAGAGGGACAGGGTAAGACGCGGGGGCAGGTAAAGCCTGGAAACACAGAGGAGAGCGTACCTGCATGGGTCACCACCCCAACTCCTGAGGGACGAGAAGGAGTTTGCCGGAAAGGAAAAGAGAGAGATGGAAGGCCAGAAAAAGGGAGCAGCGAGGGCAAAGGCTACGAGACGTGCCAAGGACCCGTGTGAGGTTACTGTGACCTGAGAAGGGGCCTGAAGATAGGGCAGGGGTGGGACGTGAGTTCGAAAGGGTCTGACCGTCACCCTAAGAGGTGGGGAGGCCACTGCTGGGTGAAGCAACAGGGATGACAAATCCGGATCCATTCTTTAGAAAGCTCGTGTTTGGAGGGTGGGCCAAACACCAGGGAGTGAGGCAAGAGTCTACTGCAACAGTCCAGACAGAAAACGCCAGACAAGTAACACTGAGACAAAGGAAGGAGCACGTTCAGAGGGTATGTAGACAGTGGCCTTGCAGGGACTTGATGCCCAGGATGGACATGGTGGGTGAGGGGGAAGAGGGAAGGGAGCGCCAACTGGGTGGACGGTAAAGGGCATCAGTACCCCCATTTATTTCCTCAAATCTCAGCACCACAAACTATTAGAATTGGTAAAGACATTGGAGATGATTTCCTTCCAATCTCTCTCCGAATGCAGCTTCTTCCTATGGCATTCCTAATCCATAGGCTTTTGTCTTAGGCTTGATTCCCTCTGGTGACCAGGAACTCGTTACCTATCCTTTAGCTAATTCAGGTCGATCTGTGAGAAAAAGTTTTCTTGACGTGCTTTACAACGTCCTAGTAGGGAGCGTGCTCCTCTCTCGCATCTAGGAAATCTCTCAGAGCATGACAAAAATGGGGCAGCCTCACCTCATTAAATTCAGGATTCAAGGTTTTCTTCTTTATTTGAGTCTTGTGTTTGGCTTTCTTTCCCATGTCCGGTTTCAGCCAGCTGAGAGGAGACAGAAATGCTATTGTGGATGACGTTTAACGAGTAAGAGCAGACTCTTGATGACCCCAAAGGTGCCGTCCAGCGTCAGGAGAGTAAATGAACAAATCAGAAAGCGAATCAACATTAACAATGGCCAACGTGCATTGGAGCATCTACCGGGGACTGTGCTAAGGACCGTAGGTACATTTAACTCTCAACAAACCCTAGACGGTGGAGTTACGGTCACCTGTTTTACACACAAGGAAACTGAGCATCCAGAGTTGAGACACGTGCCTCCGGTCACACAGCTGAGGACTTGACCCAGCTGTTGCCTATGGAGTCCACGCTCTTAGCCAGTACTTTCTCCCAAGGGATCAGATTGAAAGCCTAGACGGTGGTGACTGGAGTCTCACTATTACCCCTTAGATTGCCCCCAAGTCCTGGGGAGACGGTGACTGTGTAGACAGAAAGGAGAAGAAGCAAATCTGATTACAGTAAATCCTGCTCAAAACTGGTCGGTGGCTCCCCCTTCGACCTCAGGGTAAAATTCAAAATCCTTGATGTGGCCTTTAAGGCGCTGTATGATCGGGTCCGTGCCCCAGCCCAGCCTGGTCTTGCGCCATGCTCCTCACCCCACTCCCCATTCACTGTCCTTTCCACCCCGGGGCCTTTGCACATACCATTACCTCTGCCTAGAAGGCTCTTCCCCAGGGTAGGCACAATGCCTGGCACATAGTCGGTGCTCAACTAATTTCTTCTGGGCAAATAAATAAAATAGGCCGACAACTCTTGGGAGTGGGGATATTTGGATTCGGATTAAAGCTATCACTCGCTGTGCAACTTTGAACTTGACTGTAGCTCTGGCATACCCCAGTTGCCCAATCTCTAAAGAGGGCAAATGTTTTTTTTTTTTTTTTCTTACTTACAGAAGGGTTTTGGAGGACAATTTATTTTATTTATTTATTTCTATTGTTGACGTATAATGTCTCATTAGTTTCAGGGGTACGACACAGTGACTGGACAAGTCTATGCTTCCACCGTGCTCACCAAACCTGTCACCATACGACACGACTGCAACACCATCGACTCTATTCCATACGCTGTACCTATGATCCCTGCGACTCGTCCATTCCATGACTGGAAGCCTGTACCCCCCACAGCCCGTGAGGATAATTTTCTTCATCTATGAATTTTACTTTGTAATGTTTATTTATTTTTGAGGGAGAGAGACATACAGCACAAGTGGGGGAGGGGCAGGGAGCGAGGGAGGGAGACACAGAATCTGAAACAGGACCTACTGAGCCACCCAGGCGCCCCGAGGATACTTTTCAAGAAGGGACACAAAGTTGGTACTGAAAGTATGAGGTGCTGAGCAACGATAAAGATAAGATTGGGGTGCCTGGGGGGCTCAGTCGGTTGAGCGTCCAACTTCGGATCAGGTCACGATCTCACGGTTCGTGGGCTTGAGCCTTGCATCGGGCTCTGTGCTGACAGCTCAGAGCCTGAAGCCTGCTTTGGATTCTGTGTCTCCCTCTCTCTCTGCCCCACCCCCACTCACACACACACACACACTCTCTCTCTCTCTCTCAAAAAGAAACATTAAAAAAAAATTTAAAGAGATAAAATCAATTCTGATTTTAAAAATCTTTATTTGGTCTGAAACCGATTAATGGCCTCCTTTTAGCTTTCCCACAACGGCCACCAGGGCAGCCGTTTTACTGGTGACCTCAGCAAGGCTCCTTCTTCTGCAGAGATTGGGCAGACGAGAGAAGGGGCAGTAGGGAGAATTATTTAAGAAAAACAATTTGCATGTGGCTGGGATGTAATGGAGGGCAGGCCAGTAGTCCACGAGCCAGTTTTCTCTGTTGGACCGTATGAGAAAATAAATGCCAATGACTCCCAGAAATCAAACTCATCCCTGACACGTGGGTTCTTCTGTTCACTAACTCCTCATTCGAAGAAAATCTGAAGCAAAGTCCACACTGAGTTTTAGCCATGACCTGAAGGGAAGCATTGCTTTCCATTAGGAAAGGTAGTCAGTGGGAGGGAGCGTCTCCCAGGCTCGAGGGAACAATGAGCACCCTTTGCCGTGAGTAGGAATAGTGGTGGTGGTGATTTATAACCACAATGGCACATATTTATGGAGCACTTACTACGTACCGGACCCCACGAAAACACATCTCTCAGATCCCCAACCGCAGGGGGCAAAATTGGCTGACAAGCTGCTGGACTCTGATTTCACCCCGATGTTCCCACTGTGGCTGCGCTTGCCCTGGGCAGCTCCCGTACCTGGGCCGGCAGGGACAGGAGGCAGCCCCATTTCTGGGAGGTGCAGGGCTCCTCCGAGTGACTTTGCACTCCAGGATTCCCCACAGCCTGCGTCAAAACTTCCTCAGAACTGCACTTCAATCTTCGACTTTCCCTGCCCAACCGTCCCCCCTCCTCCCCACCTGTTTTCCTCTGACCCTCCTCTCACTCCCTCTCAAATCTTCTTCACAGGCATGTTCCCCAATAAATCTCTTGCACACCTCACTTAGTCTTGGTGTCTGCTTCTTGGAGGAGAGAACCTCATGGCCGTTTTACAGATGAGGACATCGAGGGCCAGAGATGTGAAGGCACTAGCCAAAGGTCACACAGCTGGAGAACACTGAAGACTACTGGCTCTAAGATTCAAACCCAGGCAGTCTGGACCCAGAGCCCAGGCTTTCCACCATATCGACAGAAACACAACTTGCTTATAGTTGCACAGCTAGCAGCTGGCAGAGATGGGAGAGGAGCCCCACGTCTGATTCGGTGGTGGCCACAAGAACGCGCCGGGTGGACCTCCAGCCACAGCATAACTGACCTAGGCCCCAGCTGCTGCACTTGGAAATCCAGCCACGTTCGTGCCAAGACCCTGCTCCCAGCTGATGACTGAAGGTGGCAGGGCCCACTCCTAGGAGACATGGGACTCGTCTGGCGGCTGATTTGGGCCTTGAGGACTCGGACGGTCTCGCTGAACTTGCATCTAGTATGCTTCCACTGGCTCCCACCTCCCCTCTCCGCTCTCGCACACACGGTGGCCTCTCCCACTCCCTCCCTGCTTTCCCTCACTCAGGCATTTCTCCTAGTGAACCTTTGTCTGTTGAATCCCATCTTGGCATCATTCCAGAGGACCTGGACTAACACAGATAACACGTCTCTCTTACTCCCCATGGTGGCGATTACTGGAATAACCAAAGTCTAAGGCCTTTTCTTAGAGCATTTCCAGACTGCACCTGGGAAAAGCTGGAATTGCTTCTTCGGTGGTGAGGCTCTGGACTGCTAGAGGGATGTGTTGCTGATTCCAGGGGGCTCCAAAGGGGGTTACTGCAACTTGCCGACTGCCTCTCTCCCACTGGAGAGGACAGAGTCACAAAACTCCTCGTATGGGCAAGCGACACAGCGGTCTGACTGTCTGAGACCCCAGACTCACACTCTAGCCAGTTCTGGACATCACCTCATTGTGTGACCCTGGGCATGCTCATTCCCTTCTCTGAGCCTCAACGTTCAATGATCTTGGGGAAATTCTCTAGGTTCTCCCTTTGCAACGATCTAGGACCCCGTCTGGGGTCCATTCACAGTCCCAATGACTCACAGCTTGACAAATGGATCTGAGTAGCCATTGGCATCCATGGCGGCCAGGTGCACGCAGCGTATGATGCCCACGATGAGGCCTCCCTGTTGTGTGCTGTACATGAGGGACACCAGGATCTTGCCGCGTTCCTCTATGTCACCGATTCGTTCCACCTGCTGTAGAAGAAGAGGGCATATGGGTCTAGGAAGGGGAGGGGGCCAGGCAACAGGACGGATGACTGGCAGGAGGGAGGAGCCTGTGGAAAGTAGGAGGCGCTGGCCCGCCCCAGCACGGTCAGCACCATGGACAGCAGATGCTCCCCAGTCTCCAGAGACCAGAAAGTCGGGCTAGCAATGAAGGCACCTGGGGGCCTGGGGCTTTACTCTGACTTAGACAAGGACAGAGCCCTGAGTGATTGGAGGTGGGGCTGGACCCTGGTTCCAGTCTGACTCTGAACTCAGATTTGCCTGAGTAAAACAGTTTTCTCACCACTGTAGTCCCTGGGGCCCCATGAGGGACCTGGGCAGAGGGCACAGATATGTAGCCCAACCCCAGCCCCAGCCAGCCTGTCCTAGGTCCCCATGGAGGGAGAGTGGCATTGCTTTAGTCCTGCAGAATTTTCCAGCAGAGCTTCTGCCAACAAGGCAGGGGAACTCAAGGGTGTGCCCCGGGTGTGAGAGGGTGGGCTTTCTTGGCCTTGGGGGCTCCAGACGGGAGGAGCAGCCATTTGGTCTCATGTTCTAATGGGAAGGGGTACCTCTCTCATGGTACACCGACGGGCAAGTGGTTTTGGGGGAAAGAATAAGGAAGGGGCTGGGAGGGAGAGAAAAGAGAATTGGCAGATCCTGACTGTGGCTTCAATACCCACTGAGTGCTCACCTCCTCCTCATAAAGGGCCATGCCTCGGGCTGACCCGGTGGTTCCAGCACGCTTCATCTTAGAGGAAAGAAACAGAAAGGAAAGATAACATGAGTCTATGAGGCTCATCTCCTTACATGGGAAGGATCGGAAACCCACATCCTTCCATTAGCAGCCAGAGCCACGAGGGTGAGTTCCCCAAACTTCTGTGGCCCTCCAGCTCCCCTTCATTTAGATAAAATTTATGTAATGTTAACCATTTGACAGACCACGTTAATGCACAATAGCCTATGATGTAGGTTGTATATTCCTATCCCATTTGACAGATGAGGACACTGAGGGTCAGAGTGGTTAAGCCACTTGCCCGAGGTCACATAGCCAAGAAATGGCAGGGCACCCCACTCATAAAACAGGTAAGATTTCATCTGCTTTGGTAGAATTGACACAGGGGGCTTGGGGTCTGAACCACCAGGTACTTCTCCCCCCTTGGTTCCTAAGGTCCTTTTGTGGGATTCTAGGACTCTGGGGAACACAATGTGGAAACCACTGCCTAAATCCAACCTCCCCACTATAGAGATGAGGAAAACTGAGTCCCGGGCTGGGTGTGGGGGAAGGGACAGCATTCTCACAGGCCCCTACTGTGGGGGCATGGGGTAGCTGGCGGTGGGAAGGTTAAGGACAAAGAGCAAAAGGTGTCCTGTGGCGGCTCCAGGCCCCTGCCTGTCCCCGCCACCTCTGTGCCTCTGGGGCTGTCTGCACCCCTCACAGCAAGATGGGCAGACTCGGGAGCGGATAAGCCAGGTGAGGGCCCGGCCACTGTCCTGACCGGCTGGAGTCACTGAGTGAGGGATGGAGGAGGAGGCCTGAAGAACCGAAGAGCTTAAGGAAAAAGAGCCAACTCTTCACCTAGGATGGTTCCTAATGATTTATTTGGAGCCTGGCCTTTGGGGCAAATTGCTTCTTGCAATTTTCCTTGCTCTGTCTTGTTCTTCTGCCTATGCTATAGAAACATGGTGCGGCACATGGGATATTCCATCCTCGGGCTGGCCATCTGGTGGAAGGATGCTGTGATTCTCCCCTTCCCCCCCCACGGAGCCTCAGGGAGCTGGCCACGCCCAGGGGGGGAAGAGTCACACGGTGGCTGAGAGCTAGGCTCTGTCACGGGCAGGCACAGGTGAGCACAGCCACTGTTCTTAGGGTATAACCCAGAAGCTCGCCTCCCCCCCTCAGGGTTCCAAGTGGCCCATATGTAAAATGGGCAGGTTGTTTTGTCTTTAAAAATACAGAGTGCTGGGTCCCACCCTACCTCATTAAGTCAGGATTCCAGGACTCAATGAATCATAGTTTGGGTTTGGTTTAACATGTGGTTTAAATTCCGGTTTACAATTTGACAATACATTTCATATTTAAAAAAAAAAAGGGCATGCTCTGGGTGCATAGAAGTCGTGTTGTTGGCCCTGGATTTCAGCCAGGTCAATGAACTGCTGGTCCTGTGAGTTCTGGGAGCCTGGCCAGGTTTCCCACATGGTCGGAGCCTGGAGCCTGTCACTGCTGATTCTGTGTTTCCTCTCTGCCCCTCCCCGCTCATGCTCTGTCTCTCTCTGTCCCAAAAATAAATAAACGTTGAAAAAAAAAAATTAAAAAAAAAAAAAAAGAAACTCCGGTTTAAAAATCTCCAGTTGAGAACTGTGTTTTGCAGCCTCGCTGTGCCAGCATCGCTCAACAACTCCAGCTGTGCTCCAGCGGAAGGAGAAGGCGGGTAAGTAGGGAGGTCTCCGTGCCAGGGCGCATACAAAGCAGACTGCTCGAAAATGGGCGGGGGGAAGCCTCAAGGAAGCCACAGGTTACAAAAGCTGCTTGCAAGAGTGCGCCCTCTACCGGAGGGTGAAGAAACCTCATCGTCACAGGCCTGGCCCTGTGGCCTTGGGTGAAATTAGACGTTATCAGAAGTCCACTGAACTTCTGATCCGCAAACTTCCTTTCCGGCATCTGGCGCGAGAAATTGCTCAGGACTGCAAAACAGATCTGCGCTTCCGGAGTGCAGCCATTAGACTTTGCAGGAGGCAGTGAGGCCTATCCCGCCGGCCTCTTTGAAGACGCTCCATGCCAAACGTGCAACATTGTGGCAAAAGACATCCAGCTAGTGCACCACACGCACGGAGAAAGTGCTTAAGAATCCACTATGATAGATAACATTTGGAGGTGCCTCGGTGGCTCCGTCGGTTAAGCACCTGACTCTTGATTCTGGATCATGATCTCAAGGTCGGTGAGTTGACTGTGCCGATTCTGCTTTGGGTTTCTCTCTCTCTGTCCCTCCCCTGCTCATACTCGTGTGCGCTCTCTCTCTCAAAACTATCTAAACATTACAGAATTTTTTTTTTCTTCCTGTTATTGGTGGCTCTGAACGTTAGGTACTTTTTTTTTTTTTCCCATGGGAATCAAAAGTTACCTGAGTATATGATTGCAAGGGAAAAAACGGGGGGACAGAAATCAGGTATTAACAGTTTCTCCATTTTCATTTGTGTGTGAATTTTTAATACAAATGCAGAGACCTAAAGCGTTAATGCAAGTGAACATGTTTCAACGAACACGATTCAGCAGCTTCAACTTTATAACGATCTTAAATAAACCAGTTACATTTTTCTGGACAATGCCAGCATTTGGATTTTTTTTTTTTTAAACAAGGAAATTTCTTATCGACGGCAGCTAAACAGTGTTTGTGGCCTTTTTTTTTTTTTTTTTTTTTTTTTTTTAAATCTCGCGGTAGATTCCCTCCATTCACCATTCTGAGTTGTCCTACAAGTCCTACCTGTTTTTTAATGTCGTCGGTCCTCTGTGCTGTTCCTGTAAGTTTGCTACTAAAGTACACTAAACTATAGAAACAATTGAAAAAAATAAAAATCCCCAGTTGATTCCGAGGTATAGATTGCTATTCTCCAATCTCCAACTGGAGCGCCTTGGTTTGGTTCCTGTTTTTTCCCAAAAGGCAAGCAGCACATAGCGGTAACAGCTCCAATGCTCTATAGGTAGTCTCAGATTAAGCCTTCAAAGACCTTATGAAGTTCGTACTTGCTACATTAGTCCATTTTACAGATGAGAAAATTGAGGCCTAGAGAGGTCAAATCATTTGGCTCAGATTATACTAGAAGTGCCAGAGCCTGACTCTGGCTCCAGAGCCCATGTCTTAAGCACTATGCTACCCTGTCGCCCGCTGATCTGCGTGGTGCTTTATGAATTCGTGACCGACAAGGGGGTGAGGCAGTATTATTTTCTACAATAGCAACAGTTAATTTACAAGTGGCTATTAGACCCTAGGTTCTGTTCTGATTGTATGTATCACACAACCGTCCTATGGCGAAAGTCCTGTTAGGATGCCCATGTTGTAGACTAGAAAATCGGAGGCTCAGAATAGTTCAGACCCTTGGCCAAGGCCAGGGACCAGGGAAATGGCGGAGCCAGGCTTTGAACCCAGACGGGCCACACTGCTGCACCACACCGCCCTTCTCAATGTCACCGAGGAGGACGCGGACGTCAGAGAAGTGATGTTGGTACAGGATTGAAGAGCCAGGATGCCATCCCGATGTTGTGACCTGAAATCCCCCTCCCACCTCCACTGTCGGGCACCCTGCAGATCTATCACCCCCTTTGCAGGCCCCAGAGGAAGGCCCCAGCCCCCAAACTCTTCTCCCCCATCGCACCCTCGAGGCAAAGGCGCTCACCGGGATCACCCGCTCCAGGCAGATGTTGAAGTTCTTTCTCTGGTTAGGCTTCAGTTTCTTGAGTGAGAATCTGGTCTCACCGATAAACTCGTTATGGCCAAATTTGTCCTCGTCACAGACAGAGATCCTGCAATCAACATAGGAAGGGGTGGGGAGAGAAAGAAGGGCCTACATTGAGCACCTACTATGTACCAAGAGCTGTGACTGATACTGACAAGGAATGTGTCGTGTGCATAGGAATATTTCAGTTTCCTATTTTTTGAGCACTAGGCCAGGTACTTTGTTTCTTCCTTATTACCGTGTAACTTACAAGCAGTAATGTGTACAAATCTTAAATTTATAACTTGCTGAATTTTTGCATAGGTATACACTGATGTAACCACCACCCACCTCAAGATATAGAATGTTCTGGCTCCTGGAAGATCCTCAAGGTCCCTCCTTGTCATGACCTCCCTCAAAGATAAGCTTCATCTACATCTATAGGCATTTGTCATTTTCCCTGCTGTATAGTATTCCACTGTGAAACTATACCATAATACTTGTGCTACTGATGGGTATTTGCTTTTGATCCATTTCTAGTTCTGAGCTTTTACGAAGAAAGCTGCTGCAATCAACTTTTTTTTTTTTAAAGGGGGGTGGCCTGGGTGACTCAGTCTTTAAGCATCCGACTCTTGGTTTCAGCTCAGGTCACGATCTCGCGGTTCGTGGGTTTGAGCCCCGCGTCGGGCTCTGTGCTGACAGCTCAGAGCCTGGGGCCTGCTTCGGATTCTGTGTCTCCTTCTCTCTCGGCCCCTTCCCTGCTCGCACTCTGTCTCCCTCACTCTCAAAAAGGAAGAAACATAAAAAAATGAAAGAGAAAACAGTGTTGTAATTAATCATCGGGGAAATGCAAAACCAGAATTGCGACACCACGGCACAGCCACCAGAATGGCCAAAAGGGAAATGTGTTGATGAGGATGGGGAGGACCCAGGACTCTCATGCACTGCTGTTAAGAGTGGCAACTGGTACAATCTCTTTGGGAAACTGGCAGTTTTCTGTTAAAGCTGAACGTGCACATACACTACAATTCAACCCTTACTCTCCTAGGAAGAAAAGCATGCACAATATGTGACTCGAATGTTCCCAGCCGTACTACTGTAATAGCCCCCCCAATGAAAACCAACCAAATGCCCCTCAGCAGTAGAACGGACACATAAAACTGTGGCATCATCACCCCAGGGGATACTAAATAGCGACAAAGCATCAACGATCTACAGACACAAGCAACAACTTGGGTGTGTGTCACGAACATAGTATTAAGTGAAAGGAGACAGACACAAAGGGTCATGTTGTGCCATCCCGTTTATGTAAAGTACAAAACCAGACTGAGTTCGTTTGTCCTGTCAGAAGTCAGGACAGTGAATGCCCCGAGGGAGGGGTCCTCACTACGGGGACGGCGCTGGTGGGGCAGGGAGTCTGTGGTCTTGGGAATGTCCTCTTCTTGGATCCTGATGTGTTCACGTGGTAAAAATTCATCAATCTGTGCAGTTTTTTTTTTATGTGTGCATTTTTCTAAGTGGATGTTACCCTGCAATAGAAATGTTTACTTAACCTAATAGTGTAGCTAGCTGGTGGGAATGTGCGTGGAGCAGCCAAATTTGAAACGCCGTTTGTGCGATTTGTAAAATAAAACAAACCCCACAACGGCGGATACTATGAAGCAGGAAATGCCTGCTCACTTCGTTTCTATCCCAAGGAAACACCAGTGTGTACACAGGGAAGCATAAAGGATACGCGTTGCAACTTTGTTGGTAATAGAAGCTGGAAACAACCTAAATGTCCGTCCACAGGGCGATGGCTGAATAAACTGGCAAACATTTACATAAAATTTAAAAACATGCCAGATAATACCACCGCGGTGTATAGATACTAGTTATGCAGCTAAGGCCTAAGGCATGCTGGGGAACGATATCCATAAAATTCAGTATGGTGTTTAGCCCTGCGAGGGAAGGAAGAGAAGGAAAGGGTATAGAAGAAAAGCTTCAACCTGCTTCTGTGGCGCTTTATTTCTTGAAGATAATAATAATTTAAAAAGCAGCACATACAGCGGAAGAGTGCGATTTTCTAAAAGACCGAGTATTGAGTTTGTCAGTGTTTGTTTTATTACGTTCTACACTCTTCTGTGTCTTTGTAATATTTAAATTATAAAACGTTTTCAAAAACGTGTGATAAGCCGTTCTGTACAACTCTCCGAAGCAGTCAAATATGAGGCAGATCTAAATGTCTTCTCCTGGCTATAACGCCAAGATACATTGTTAAGAAAAAAAGGAAAGTTCCAGATCTATGCAACATGATACTTTATAGGCTCTGAACAGCGGTATGAATATGTGTTCACTCACAAAGGGAGGAAGCAGACCCGGGCTGGCAGAGGGGGTTAACATTTAAAAGGAGCTTTGCCTTCTCTGTAATTTTTTTTTTTTATAACAAGGAACGTGTATTCATTTATGACTTCTATAATTACAAATGCAGTTTAATAAAACACTGAAGAATATAAAATGCCACCAATATACTGTTAAGTAAGAGAGGCTAATTAGTTAATAGGATGGTCCATTTTTATAAACACTTAATTTTACTTTTTTTTTAATGTTTATTTATTACTGAGAGAGAGAGACAGAGCGTGAGCAGGGGAGGGGCAGAGAGTGAGGGAGACACAGAATCCGAAGCGGGCTCCAGGCTCTGA